TACTCCAGGTCCTCCATTGCCACCAGGAGCTCCGCTTCCTCCAGGTACTCCAGGTCCTCCAGGTCCTCCAGTGCTACCAGGAGCTCCGCTTTCTCCAGGTACTCCAGGTCCTCCAGTGCCACCAGGAGTGGTGGTTGGCTCACCTTTCGTAGTCGTGCCCGCCGTACTACCGGGCTCCGTTTTGGCGGGCGGTCCGGTTGGTGTTTCGGATCTTGTGCGAGTTCTTGTCAATGTATTGCTCTTGCTGTTAGTACTCGTGAGGGTTCTCGTCATTGTACTATTTCCGCTCTGGGTTGGGAGAGTAGTGGTTTTGTTGCTGTGCGTTGCCGTGGAAATGGTTGGGAGAATAGTGGTTTTGTTGCTGTGCGTTGCTGTGGAAATGGTTGGATTGTGGGTGGCGGTTGAATGCGTGGTGGTATTCGCGGCGGTGGTCGTTGTAATTGGGACAGATTTGGAGCTCGAGCTCGGGCACGGCGTGGTAGAGGTCGAGCTTGGGGGCGGAGTAGTAGAGGTCGAGCTCGGGCACGGCGTGGTAGAGGTCGAGCTCGGGCACGGCGTGGTAGAGGTCGAGGGTGGTGCCGTCTTGGTGGAAGGGCTTGGACTTGGATGCCTAGATGCAATTAGTGGGGTGTTGTAGGAAAGGGAGTGGAAAAAAATCACTTCTTGGAGCAGACAGCGTCGCCAGAGCTTGGGTTTGTCTCAGAGCAGACAGCGCCCTCATCTTTGCAGTTACTGGCCATACCAGTGCAATCATCATTGCACCGGACTATGACATACTCGTCGACGCAGAACGCGGCCTGGTGGCCTTTTGGGGTATTTGCGGGACAAGTATATACGCCGGTGGTCGAGTTACTGTGGACATGTTAGCATCACATTGATATGCCTTTGATTTCCTGTTGGCGGGGAGAAGGGGTGGACGGACAAGACGGCCTGAGCGTTGACGACTGCAGCCGATGCTGCAATCACAGCGGTGATATACTTCATATCTTGATCAGGTTGGATGAAGCCTTGGGAGATGCGTAATAGTCAATGGAAAGGGTGAGAGCCCGATGACAACGAGAGAGGGACAATATGTAGTTATAATAGGAGAACGACCGTGGGACAGGGTGGACAAGGCAAGAATGAAAGAGGTTCCGCTCCCAAATGGTGGCCTTTGAGTTTCAAATTGGAGTGGTGGTATCACTCATAGGCCAAAGAGCTATTATATGAAAGAGGTGATAGGTGAAGGATAAGGAAAGACGGAGCTTTGCCGGCTCTATATTTATATACTTGCGTGTCCGCTTCTGGGGGCCATCTTGCAGCTACTTACTGTGTGGTAACCAAGGTACTAAGGCCGGAGGAGTCTCGTCATATCCTGCTTTCGTTCGTCCTTCGTTGATGTATGCCGTTAACGTTGGACTTGAAATGAATTTCCGAAGTCGCAAGAGCATGATTGGCCATAGAGAGCAAGAAAATTTTCCGAAAGCAAAAGGTATGAATCGCGAGAAAGCACCGCAAGCGGAGTCGTAGCGAGAGAGAGGAAGATGTAACATGAAGGACGACACAGGTATAGGTAGACTCAAAACTAGCTGAGTGGATTAAAAAATCCGAGGCTACCAAAGGCAACCACGGGAATAGCTTATGTTCGAGAATGTGGGAGAAGTGGCATAGTGTGTCTCGTAGGGCAACCTGCGGCTGATCTATCACCAGTGCATTACTGATGGATATGGCTATATCTGGACGCAGCACCAATCTTCTAGTGACGTACTGATCCGAGTCATACTTTGTCCTGACGCTTTACGTTTGCGGCCTCAACTCAAGAGATAACGTTGCCACCGTCACCGACCCTCCCAAGGTACTAGTAGCCTTCCATTCCCGTTTTCGTTCCATTCCAAACTCCTATGCCCCGTTTCGGTCCGTTCTCGGTTCCGCATCCCCGTCACAGGAATGTAAAATGTCAAATCGCCGTCCGTTCCGCAGTCCACATTCCGCACGATATCTCCTGTTACCCTACGTAGGGCAATATGGCCAGGATCGGTGCTTAGGACTGGAGAACTGGGTAACGGGAGTGGACAGGTACGGACGAGTTGTTCTTATGTGGATTATGGTGACAGGCGACAGGGAGCGAGACTAAGGGAGTGGCGAGTAGAGAGAAATAAGGAGCAAGATTAAGAGGTCTCGAGCACCCATCCCTATCGAGGAACCAGGTCGAACCAGAGCAAAAGCAATGACGATAGTTTGCGATAGCGCTTGCTCATTATCCATTCCGTCACTCTTCTCCCTGCTCGCACAGGAGTGCTGGTAGATCGAAGAGGACCGTGGCTGTATTAGGGAGCTCTCTTGCATCGGCCTGTATTTACACAGTGTACTAGCAAAGTATAACAGAGTTAATGCATGATGCACATGGATTTTACAGTGCATACTATAGGCAAGGTTGTAAAACGTTCCTGGGAAAGCCTGCCATCCTAAAATCTGCTCGCTGGAATGCCGCCGCAAGAAAGCACGTAACAGATGAAAACAGCTAATATTTATAAGTTTGAAATCCCAAAGACAGGTGCAAAGGACGCCAAATGCTGTGTAAAGACATTAAAAAGTATAGATTTGGCCAATGATTTACTCGAGCAATCCCAAGCCTTATGTTATTGGCCGACAGGTTGCCGATGCTCGCCCTTGTTCACTTCTTCCATAACATTGCTTCTCGTACAACAACGAAAGTAGAAATCATGCTAGTTCGTTTCGCTTTCGCCTGGTCTAGCATTCGCAAGCCCTTGTTGCCGGAGGGAGCGGACGAGAGCGAAGTGCTGGATTTAACGTACCCTTGTGGGTATATTGGAGTGTTATCAATATCAGGGGCTGGGTTGGCCTATTTAAGAAAGTGCGGCACTATCTGCGCTCAAATGTAAGAAACATATGCTCTACGGAGGATATAGGCATCAGAGGAGCCACCTACATGGTCAAACTATTATTAGCGAAGTGGTTGCAAAGAATCGTCGAGTAAGTTTGCTTTCTGTGGGGCTCTTTTCTGGTAGGACGACTTTGCTGCCTCGGAAGCGGAGGTAAACAGTTGTGATGGCCATTGGTATTATCCCTCCTAGGCACAACCATCCGAATCTGGCTTTGGAACGCTATCTCGAAAATTTCCGGGCTCTTTGTGATTTCCTTGTTCTTCTAGTGCCACTTTCTCATATTGTATACTGTCTAATACTTTCGCATTGCTTCCGAACTTCTGAACTTCGCCACTGTCTCAGGATCCATTCCCCTTCTTAGGTTGTATATATTCCCAACAAGTTTAAAGAGTAATTTTTGAGGCAAGGCATCACCTTTGAGATTTATGAAATTGATTATAAAGACGTGAATGAGGCGAGCATCGCGGTCTTTCGCCATCCGTCGTGCGTCAACTGTGTGCTCCATTGGTTGTATTAGGGGGGCCTTTTCAAAACGTGATACGGAGGTTTTGTTGTAGATGATTTTGGGACTAACATGGCTTAGGTTGACGGCGCCGATAGGTTGCGAGTGATTTAGACAGCGTTGGAAGCATTTCTGATTTGCGGAGAAGAACGCGGTGGTACGTCTCTACAGGACTTTCGTCGTCGGGAGGGGTGAGCATGCTGGTGGTGCGCACAAGCTGGCGACGTTTTGAATATGGTGGATGAGGCTCCATGGATGTGCTTCCTCTGAGAGGGGCCTGGCTTGGACTCCTAGGCCCAGTCAATTTGGGGCTGCAAACACGCGCCTTTCACATGGATAGATCATTAGTGGCTAGATCGTAGTCAAAAGAGAGAAGCATCGTGCACATATTCCTTCTTTGACATAGCTTGCGAGAAAACATGACCTGTACCTGAAGCTGACTTGTTTACGGTAGTGGGCAACGGATCTAGGCTGCTCCTCGAACGTTTCCAGCGATTGCCTCGGGCTTCCGGTCGAGATAGCGGGATTTCTCACGCATGTACCCGAGCCCAGATGCCATGGAAGCTGGGGATCCTTCTCAGAATTCGGTAAATTTCTGCTTTTAGCACTGTGGTGTCCTGCATCATGTCCCTTCAAATGAGGCTTGAAAATCCCCACAAACCTAAGATACGAATATTTGTCATCTTCGTACTAATTAGGTTTTCTTTGGCGTCAATTGCTCTAGGTATCAATTAGAAACCCAAACAGATGTGACATTTATATCGAATTATTTACCTTCTGTTCAGAGCATGAGATACCTAGGGAATCGCTTCATAAATGTTACCATAGACGCTCCGCAAACATGTCTTTGCTGGGTGTCGCGCAATCAATTCCCAACTCGTCACAACGATGATGTTCGATAAACTTGGTCTCTGGCATGGCACATTTATTAATCGGTATTCATAGATTGCGATGAAAGGAACGAAGTGAGGGATATTCTGCGAGTTGCGGCTAGGATTCAATACGGCTCGTGCTCTTGGCTTTCCCGCTGGCTGCGCTTGGGTAGGCCCAGTGGTGGATAGCATACGGATACCAACGCCTGAGACACGGCAACAGGATGGTGAACGCCCAGTCCAATCGGAGATCCTCTAATTTGTACGGCGTACCTCGTAACGTTGGAATTAATAGCGCGGGCGCTGCGAAAACAGAGCCAGCGTGGCTGGAGAAATGGGTCGCCAAAAGCCGGTCTTCATTTCGTGCGGAGCAGGCCATATCCCGTATCGTGTCCCGAATAGCTGTATTCTGCTACGGCCTATCTCCTACGGGAACGACAGTTAGCTGGACTATATGCTTGGATATGTCTCAACAGGTCGAGTTCGATAGATCGCTCAGCCCCGGGTATCGCTCTGCCCATCAGAGACCACGCAAGGAATTCGAGATGGACGGAAAGAAGCTGTCAGATGGCAGACGTCCATGATTGTCAGATTGTTGAAGGCCATGGCATTCTAGACTTAGGATCCGCGATATCTAAATATGTGTCGGCTGCTTCGTGCTTCGTTGCTCGTGGTTTGTACGTAGTACTCCGTATAGTGATCGAGTCGCAGTTCGTACTCCGTAGTGCGTAGCCATACGAGTACTCTGTGATCTCACCGAAGGTGGCGTAGCAAAAGCAATGCTCAGTGGGCTTTTCACATCATGTCTCGAGATGCACACAGGGGCGAGTTGCTATCGCCAGCACTGGGGATTTTCCTTCTTGGGACGGGGAGACCGAGAGTGCGGTGCACGGCACTGATACTGGTGAATGAGTGGTTTTGATGGTACTAAGTTATAATCGATGGCTTCAGCAACGTTGCCCATAGAATAAAGGAGTGTATCTTTTCTCCAGCGATAGTGGAGACTCCATACGCTATTTTATTATGTGCGAGAAGAAATGTCTACTAGCAGGATGCTTGATGCGCACCTCTTTCCGCTGGGGATATACTGGCAAACACATATAGGGACGTGTAAGTTATGGCACTACGTACCTGTGGAGGTCCTCAATCTCTTGGACCACGATCCGATTGTTGCAGGTGGCGTTGTGATGGTTTTGGTGGTAAGATAGCTCGTCGATTTTCCTACAAGAAGCAACTGATGTTATCTTGCTATCCGTCATAGTAGCAAAAGCTGCCCTCTTGTACTCACGCTGACAACATCGCGAGCTGGACCTGGAAGATACGGTGACTCTCAGCCTTTCGCTCCCCGATATCCTTGTGGATCTGGTCGCGCGCATTCATCCAAGCCGCCGCCGTCTTCACTCGCGAAATCCGGTCGTAACGACTCTCGCCCGTCACCGCAGCAGCACCTGCTCGCAGGCCGTGGTCCATCTGGCGCATGCGGATCAGAGACTGGCTGTAGAGGCCTTGGAAATACTTGAAGTCGCCATTTCCGTACTTCCGCTCAGGCTGGCGGATCTGTGAAGCGAGGTACGCGTTGTTGAGCATGTCGGTTTCAGTCTCAAGGAAGTCAATCTGCTCAAGCGCGAGGGAGATCTCCGCTTGCGTATCGATGGCGTTGCGGAGGCTAATGGCGCGCGCGTAGAAGCCGGCAATCACGGCCCCGACGAAGGTCAGAATGCCCGTAATGTTGGCGGCGATTGAGAGCGGACTGTCTTGCTGCTG